TCACTGACACAGGTATGATATAAACGTTAACTACACATGTATATTATATGGCTCTATTTAGGAAAACTCATGATCATTTTCCGATGACTTCCCTTAATTGAATGACTGTCTTTAATATATATACTTACAGATATAGTGAGACGAGATGACTGCGTGAATGACGACATATATGAATTTATATAACAAACACTTCATTTTGGCGATATGTCAGGAAAGAGAAGGAAATGGCTGAAAGCACTTTTTATGACGTACGCAACATGTATTGTGTATACCCGTATTCCTGGCTACCATGAACAGTCCTTTACAAGAGAACAAGTCTGACTGAGTTTCTTCCGTGTGTATTCCTTTCATATATCCCGGATGGAATGATCATATCGAAGTTATGTACAAGTACATGTACTCTGTTCGTTCAGCAAGACTTAATCACATTAGAGCAGTCGAAGGCTTTTCCTGCTTTCGTGGTATTATTTTTCTGCTTTGATACATCGTCTATTGCTATTGTTATGCTAAAGACTTATTTACAATACACGCTAAATAAATATTTTATGCGCTTGTGGGGGCTCAATTTGATAACAGCAGTCGAATGCATTTCATGCTATTCCATGGCATTACTTATTTGCCTTGTCTATTGCTCTTGCTATCGAAACATCCACGTGATCTTCGAGCAAGTGTTAGAACTGGACTGCCTTTATAAAGTGATTTATGGAAAAGGAGAAGTCCCTTTGACCGTCCGTACACAAGTGCTTAAAGACCCTATTCGATGAAAATACAACTTGTTATCAAGGGAAAGCTGGATGAACATAGAATACAAATGCAAAGGAATTCAAATATTTTCCCTTTAAGCATTGCACAAAAGCGAAGTAAAGCCTTATTTTCCGCACCTTTCCAAATTATAGGTCAACAGGGGTCAAATTTCCCGCAGATACAGTGACGACATAGTATGTACAACTGATCGGTGACCATAACGTAGTAATATAGAGAGTAGAGATGGTGCACATTGTGCGTGAATGAATTCGATGAATCCAAATGTTCTGTTTAGTCTGTTTTCGGTCTGGTACTGGTCTCATTGGTATGACTAAGATATTAAGCCGGAACGAAACAAGTTTGCTAATTCGGTTTTCGGTAACAAAAAGAAAGAGGAAGTGGAATAGAATACAAACAGAACTACAATCATCTCATCACAATTAATTTTTTTTTTAAAGGTAAATATTTGATTTGAGATATTAATAACTATCTGTGACGTAGAATCTGGGTCAATCTCCCACTTTGGTGTTTTTGTTCAAAGGCCAGTACTTTTATTTACACACATATTTAGTTGGTGTTTATCTTCTTATCTAATTTAAACATGTTGGTTAAATACGCGATAAAATCATAAATTGTTGACTTCCTACTTTCCATTTTTGTTTCATAGTCTTTACAAAGCATACTCTTTCTCGTGAATCCTTGTAGTCTTCTTCTTTAGTTTACCTTAAATTTAGTTAAGAAAATGATATATTCGTGATTGTAATATGTAGCGCGCCATGAGCGTCAGGGCCTGGTGGATACCGGTGCCATATAAATATCCATATTATTATTATTATTATTATTATAACGTATTTCTAATCTTTCGCTCACTGCAGCCCTCCCCCTTTTTCTTCTCTTGTACATATGTTTAAACTCTTTCATATTCCCTTTTATGTTCTTCCATATTTCATGATGAATTAATGTTCGACATTGTCATGTGTTCTTTTTTGCCCACTTTATTCTCATCGTCCCCCTTTCCAATTCCTTCTTTCTCTCTTTCATACTATTTCCATAACTATAATTCTCCTCGACCCTTCTTTATAATGTCAAATGAGTTGAGAATTATTCGTTTGATCCATGACAACTGGCACAAAGGTAACAAGGCCAGAGTGCGTGACTCTGATTGGTTGAGCCGTTCCCAGGCTAATGCTAGGAACCCGGATTCGTCTGGCAACATGGCCAGTGCGACTCTGATTGGTCTTAACTTTTCCTGGGACTTGATCGAACTTTCATAACATTTTTTTACACTAATATTTATCTTGGCTGATGACTTCAAATTATTTTAAGTATATGTAACATCTCAGTAATCTTATATTTTGTTGGACAAGTCATGAAAGCAATAGTTAAACTCCAATTACTTGAGTGTTAAGTGCTATATATCTTTGAGACACAAAAAGTAACGTGTAACAGTTTATAGCTGAACTGCAGATGTGTCATCACGATCAGACACTTTTTTCAGTAGTAATATTTTTTCTTAGTATTGGTCGACCTTGCAGCCAACCTAACAGAGCTTTGCAGCCCATCGGTGAAAAGTGCAAAACCTATGATATGTCAAAGGTCACAATTTTAGTCGTCCCTCTAGTCTTCCTTCGAAGGCTATACTATGAACGAATCTTATTTTTTAATTGTGACCTTTTACATCCATACGTTTTGCTTTAGATGCATTATAGGAGTTTCGTCCAATTTAAAGGACGATTTAAGAGAGCAATGTTTATTTTTGACCAATGACGGCAAACATTCGCCAATTTCTTTTTGGTGACTAGCTATTAAAAAAATGTTGTATGTATTAGATTATGCATAACACTTTTTTTTTCATTTCCACAATCCCTAAGATATGTCCACACATATCTGAAAAATGGCGGTTGTATGAACTGTGCAACTTTCAATTACAAACCATGAAGATTTTGTTAAATGAATTTCTATTTTAATAGAAGTTTGTCAAGTAAATCTCAGTGGAGCAGAAAATCTTCAGGCGAACAACACCATCGAAGCGCTACTATATGAAAGCAAGAAATGTAAGTAAAGATCCATCTTGTGCAAAGATTTCTGAAATTATTGTGATGTGTTTACCATTGCAGTCAGGTGCTCTCTGCATCATCAGGACCTATTACCTCCTATCGATATCCCAGCTCCGTTTATTAACTGATTGAATGAACTCTGACTAATCTAAATCATCGACGACAATGTTTTCAGAAAAAAAATCAAAACTTTACCGTAAATTATTTCATTAGAGCACATCTCATACTTTAAAAATTCATTTCATAACTTGATTATGGATAATCAGTGGTAGATGTTGACCTGTTAAAGAGACTGCGCAGATGTAACAATAGTAATAATAATAGGCATTTGTATAGCACCGTCTATCTAGACAATGCTATTATGATGTAGTCCAATGTAGTCAGAGCCGATGAGATCCTGTCGAGCAGAATAACATGTAGGCTATTTGTGTTTAATATGTGCATGGGGAGGGACGGGGCTGAAATCCCACCTCCCCCAAGGACAACCATCATCGGGGACAATTATCCCCAAATATACCCCCAGGACAATTACCCCCACCCCAGTAAACAATTAGCCTACCACTACAGGACCATTCCCCTCCCGAGGACAACCAAGGACAACCACCCCCAACAACAATTACCCACCGCCCGAAAATTTCCCCCTGTTCATTAAAGGGAAATCCACTCTGAAGATAAGTTGGTTTTGATATAGGCAGATTTTTTTTTTCTTAAGGGGGGGGGGGGGGAGGTGATTATCCATGGGTGTATTTTTCAGGGGGAGGGGGAAGAGGCCTATGTGCTTGGGGGGGGGGGGGGGGGGGGGTGGTATCCTAGGTTGCTAATTTACCAGGAGGTAATTGTTCTCTGGGGTAATTTTTCAGGGGGGGGGGTGTAATTGTCCCGCTGGTCAGTGACCGGGGACGATTGTTTAGGGTTTAATTTTCGATTAAAGCATTAATATGCGTATATATTGATTGTTTAACCGTACATTAATCTGGCTTGATACTGTCGGTTAAACTGCTTAAAAAAATCACACGACTTATTTTGGTTAACAAAACGTTCAAAGAGCAAATTTACGAGTATACAAAAACCAAAATAAGTCTTCTTTTTTTTGGTGTATTTTTTATTGTTTATACTCATTGACGTTTACATATTGTGTGTTCTATAATCACTATTCACATTCATTATGTGCTCAAACATCCACCGCTCATATAGTAATATATTAATGTTGAGTAAAATTGCATTATCTAATTCTACTTATTAGCTTTTGATTCTGCTATATGTATTTACATTTTTACCTAAACATCCACCCTTACATTAAACAATGCTTTCACGTGTGTCACTGTGTATAATAATAATAACAATTTTTTTTAATAATTCATTGTTAACATCAAAACATCTTATCGACAACATTTATAATGCGCACATATCCACCCCAAGGGATGCTCAAGACGCGCTTTAGCATTTCAAGGAATTAATTCCTGCCAGGTACATATTTACATCACCTTGATCGAGTGGGGCAAATGTAGATAAATGTCTTGCCAAAGGACATTAGTGCCGCGGTGGGATTCGAACTGCGGATTTTGTGATCGACAGTCCGGTGACGTATCCACTTGACCACGACACCTCTACTACAGTACAGTCTATGCCTTTTACATAACATCAAAACAACTTATTAATCAACTTGAATCAGGTTGAATTCCACTGCTTAGTAGAAGTAGTAATAGTAGTAGTAATAATAATAATAACAATAATAAAAGTAATAATGACAATAATAATAACTAGAAATTTAATTCGTCATGGGGACGAATTAGGTGGTCTATCTTCACTTCTCATGATAGATTTGAGAATGGGATGGGATTTCACAAAATGGCGCCTGGATGACGTCATGATGACTTGATGACCTTGAACATGTTCCTGTCACGTCTAATGACAATGACCTATGACTGTGCTAAAATTGAAAGAAATTGACTAAACCAATCTTGAGTTATCCTAGGAACAAAAAAGCGAAGAAATAAATAAAAAATAAATAAAGAAAGAAAGATAATTCTGACGAAAACAATAGGTGATCTGTCGTAAACGACAGACCACCTAATAATGATACAAATATTTGATAGGTTATTCCTTCTTGTCCACATTTGTGGAAAACAATGCTTTCCATTAACAATAACAGGCAACAACAATAGCAATCAATACAGAAGAATGTTATAGTTTTCTTACCGATATCCCATAACATTATGGAATATGCTTTCGTACCTTATGGCATACGTGTATATACATGACTCAATGCATTTTCCTTTGTATTTGTACCTGCATCGAATCATTCCAAAAATATCTTTTATTTGTAAAATCCGTTTTATCAGATACCTCTGCAGATCTCTAAAATAATCACACTTTTCGAAAATAAAATCCTGTTTGTTTGCTCCATGATGTAAGTGTTTTCTTATACATCAATCACATTATTCAAAAAATGACGGTACTTCAATGAAGGAAGATAAGTATATAATGAATCCATTTAAAGAAACTAGTCCCATACCCTGACTTTCACGTTTTGGTGAGATCTAAGGTCTTCAACTTTATTTACCCACTTTCATCAGAGTTCTGCAAACCATGGTATTTCAAAGGGAAATCTTTCTACCGATCGCCGATATCAAGGTTGTGGGGGATAACACGAGTAGACATTGTGGACACGAATAAGGAGCACAGGATGAAAAGAAGCCATGGTATTTTTGATATCTTTCGTCCTTATACATCAATCACATCATTCAGAAAATAATAATATGAACAAAATGTCAATGAAGAGCATTTTTGTATTTTATTTGGATACACAATAGGTAGCGCCCAAGTCCATCATCATATATTTTTCTCTCTCCAGTTTTTAAGAACGGAATAATTGATACATGGACATATATTATGTAATGCATTAAAGCAACACTTTCCTACTTGTAGCTACTTGCTCCGTCTTGATAGAAACCAATGCCTAATCAGTGACCATTGGTCCCCCATGATCCTCTTTTTCTTATGTTAATTGAGATAACCACCTGTCCAGTGACCTTGTAGGATGGTATAATCTCTCCTATAAACTAGTACAGATAAGCTTGAAGACTGAAAATATTTTTTGTATCAAAATTATTAAAACCTTTAAATTCAAAATTAATGACTTGGATCTATCTTCTTCTCATGTATTAAATTCTTAATCAGCATAATAACACTTTATTTTGTTTTATCATAGCATCGTTGACATAATTTTTCTCTTTGGAACCATTCACTTCTTCATAGTTAGCTTCTTGGTCAGGTTCTTCGTAGGTACGAGGGTCGGCAGTATCATCGTAGCTCTGAACATCGGTATTACAATCTTGGTAGGTATGGGTGATAGTATTCAAACCTTGGTAGGTATGGGCGTCTGTCTTTGACTGACTAAATACAGGGTTCTCATACTGCGAAGACGAATCAGACTCCTTCCATTTAGACTTAGTAGTGGCTGATTCATTGCTGAAGGTTAATATTATGAAAGAATACATTGCATTCATGACATACATGGGTTGAAAAATCATCAACAACCAATAATTGTTATTATTTGTATTTGTCGTTTTATTTTGACAGGGTAGCCCATTCAGTTATAAAACAAAACTGCTCGACCAAGGGGCCCTGATTAAACATAATTGTATTTACAAAACATATAAACATACATAAGGTATAATGAGCACACACATTAAACAAGGTGTAATGTTGAAATGAGCGGGAGGGGAAATATATTATCATGTAGTATTAAGTAAATTTTAAACTATGTGAGGGAAAGTAGGTACATGTATATAAAAACATGTCAACAAGAGATGTGGGAATTAGTGTGTAACTTTCGAAATACTTGTCATTTACATAATAAGTATTTCAAACAAGTCGTCATTACATTTGAAAAGCGTTATGCTTTGGAATATCTACATTGGACAAAATTACAAACAAGGGAATTAAATAACGTAATAATTTGTTGTTCAAGTACAATCTTAATTCAGCTTGTATTTTCATAGCCATACAGTTTTAGTCCCTTGCGTGGAAGAATACGATGAGAATGAACTGATGAGAAAGACGGGTTAACTACAAGGTATCTATCTAACCTTCTTCGCTTGCAAAAGATGATGATGAGAACTATAACGATAACAATCACAAGAATAGCACCAGCAACGCTTCCTACGACAGTTGCTATGGAACTTGGAAAACCTCCAGCGGAATTTGATTCTATTGGAGAAGAAACAGAAGGTGAAGAGGTTGGTGTGGGAACTAGGATGGTAGTGAAGAGAATGACATAAATTAGAAATACCAAGCTAGTATCACAGATAATGGTTCAATAATAAATAAAGACCCTATGATTCTAAGTAAGCCGTTTTGAAAGTCATTGCAGTTGTTAAAACAGATTAATATCTTGATACAATGTCATTCCAGGTCCTGTTTGTGATTCTGTGTTTTGCAGGGAAGCTTGGGTAGTAAAAGGGAATGGTTTCGTCAACCTGATCTCTGAAAGAATGACAAACAACGTAGGTCCAAAATAAAAAAAAAGTATTCAAATAGCAGGGGGGGGGGGGGCAGAGTGGTTACATTGGTTATGTTTATTGAAGTAAAAGTTAGTTATGGTACTTGCATTGAAGGCCGTGGAAGAAATTATTTCGAAGAACAAAATAAGCAAAGTACAATGGGTAAGTCGGCTTTAGCTCCGGCAGGCGTATTACTCAGTGCATTGAAGAAATGAATCCTACCAGGTACCCACTTACTACATTTTTCAAAGTTCGAATATGGAAAGTGAAGATCAATGTCTTGCCAAAGGAAGTTTGGATGCGGCAGGGATTCGAACCCCGGCCCGTACCGTGTTCACTGTCAGGAACCCTAATCACTAGTCCACAACACATATATCTTGGATGCCTTACCTTCGTCACAGGTGGAACCAGTGTAGCTTGGTGTGCATGTACATGTAAATGGTGATCCATTTACTTCATAACAAGTACCTCCATTCATACAGGGGTTACTGTAACATGGGCCGAGTGCTGGGAATACAAAACAGATTTGCGGTAAATATCAAGAACAAGATAAGACATTGGCAACTGAAATCGTTGTCCTTAGATTAGAATAATCGCTATAGCGAGCTTAATTGTTCTTTATAGTCACATCACTATGCTGCTACATTAAGACATATCAAGTGTTTTCTATCTATTTTTTTTTAAAATATTCACGACAGCTCAGTGTTAGAGCAGAGGTCTTAAGAAAGCCGAGCCGCTAGCACCCTTTAATAAGGCATTAGTCCTCATTACCCAGTTCCTCGGATAGGCCTTAAAGCAGTCAGTCCCCTGGTTACTCAATTCCAAGGTTTACAATGCATATTTAGCTGACAGGTAAAGCAAACCATGTACCTGCGCTAAATACAACTTGTTATTGTACCGAAGTGTCTACCCTGTATTAAGAACATATAATTATACATATATATTATCTTACCTGTACATGTAAAGTTAGGTGTACTCCATGTGCCTGTATGTTGACAGAAGCTGGTTGGTTCATTATCAGGAATATAACCATCTTCACAGGTGTATACAGCTATATCTTGATACACTGATCCTAGTTTCATGTTGGATGAAAGTGTGACGTTTGGTAGGTTTTCCTCACATTCGACGGCTATTCAGGAAAAGAGGAAAGAGTAGATGTATATCATGTCATTCTGCATTCTTTCTCTTGACATCCAAACATAGTGTTGGTACAATTTGTTATATACATTTTGTTTATTTATCACTAGCTCTAACATGAGTATAGATTATTGTAATCCTTCTCGGATAATCATTTTTATTGACGGTAATAATGGGGGAGGTTTCGACGACGCCTTTTTTCATTATTTCAGTATTAAAGTGCGGGTTCATAGAAAATCACAAGTATGGCAAAGAGCGTATTACTAGAAACTGGTAAGCTAACAGTTGGCCATCATGCAAGTTTTCGGTCAATTACATATCGGGTGATTTATAAAAATACAAACAAAACAACCTCCATAGCATCTGGGATATGCGAGAGATTCGCCGGAAAAATAACAATGTTTTAATGCCGTCACAATATGAACCAACCCTGCCCAAGCAGACGACATCTCATAAAGAATGAACATAATTGCAATGCTTTTATTTTTCAAATTATAATGAGTTTAGTGTATAAAAATGTGATGGAATCTTACACCATTCAAAAGGGGATATGACCCTCATTCTGATAACTATATTCTTTTGTTTGTAAATACACAGGATAGGGGTAAATGAACAATAAAAAAAAAAAACACTTTCAAATTAAAAAACCTGCGGAATAATAGCATGGACGTCATTTGTTCCCTCTTGAAACGCTGAACATGCCGGGGTGTATGCAGCTGAAAATACAATGGCGTCCTATTTTGTTTACAAGCGACGGATTCCTTTTTTCTTTTTATCCTTGCATTTTTCATCAAAATGATACCATGCACAGGGTTTAGAGCGAGGCAATAGATTAAACATTTCGCATGAGGGTATTGAAGTAAGAGAAATAACTGAAGAAAAGATGACAAAACAGGCACTGAAATTGTGTGAGATGTCATGGGACATCGTCTGCTTGTGCACATCATGTTCAACATGTGACGTCATATCTCGGCAGCGACCGGAGAGCTTTTCATGTGCTATGTCGGGGATGTATCTAAGCGTTTTGTAATTGTTAATAATCATTACTGCGAATGTTTCCAAGCATTGGCTTTTGATAACCTTGGCCAATCAAAGTGTCACTTTTGCAATAATGACATTAAAGTTAGTTTTTTAAATCAATGAACCTTCTCTTTAAACAGATTTTCAGCCGCATATTACTAAAGTTTGATAATGTAGATATATTAATTGCTATGGGAGGCATGGCTGTTTCTATAGACTCAAGGGGACCGCCCCGGCGGCTTTTTTTTTCCCAAACAGGTTTGCCAATGCTAATATTTCCGGTCATCTGATTGGCTGATATGTTACGTCATTAGCAATGACGTAACCGTTATGGTGAGTGATAGAATTATAGAAATCATGCAGAATCACCTTTCATCAACCCATCGATGGCTCAATCGGTAAGGTCAGCGTAATACAATCTTAGAGTTGTGGGTTCAAGTCTCAGTTTATTCATTTTTTTGGCCTTTATAAATAGTGAGGCAAAACAATAAAAAACCAAAGTCTAATTGTTTGTAACCTCTTTCCAAGCTGCTAATGACGTAGAACATATCAGCCATTGAGAATAACGGAAATATAAGAAATTGCAAACCTGTTTGGGAATAAAAATCTCTCGCCCCGGCGCGCCTCAGGGTCAAAGTAGGGTGTAACGTCCTCGATAGCCAGTATAGAAACAGCTATGCTTATAATATTAAAGCAGTCCATGTATCTTTTATATACCGAATTCACACAAAAAACTACAAAGAATTCTAACCTTGTAGAAAAAATTGGTTAAAACATCACAGAAAATCTGTGACACTGTCTGTTAATCTTCGCTGGAAAGTTGCCCAAATGTTACGATTTGGGAATCACACACACACTGCACTGTACGGTATCCGCGCTCGCACAAAGACACGTTTAACTATGCGGCCCGTTTCTCATTAACTATTGACTGTTAGGCGGGCATGGCTAAAGTCACGACTCGAATTTCGACCAGATGACTAGATTTATTCAACATACTAAAGAGAGTTATATAATTGTCATTACGTTAGCATTTACACCCCCGTCTCTAAGCATGACTTAATACGTTAATGAATTTCGGAAGATCATCTGTAAACGTCGACACAGACCTCACATGAGTTTTCAGAAACAAATATGGTATAGTAGTTCATTCACTTGACTTTCATTTCATTTGTTTATGGTTCGGATCTCATCCCGGCATAAATGTCCTCTGACAAGACATAAATCCACATTAGCCAGTATCAAGCCAGGTGTTAATGGGTACCTGAAAATTTCTGGAGTAATACAAATTCGAGATCCTACAACAAAACGAGGAAGAGCAGTACGTATTAATGATGATGCAATTTTTCTCTGTGGGTAAAAATGATTTAATCGTTATTTATTATTTATAAACATAGCAATCACTTTACCTTCACACGATGGTCTTTGATGATTCCATGCTCCGTTATTCATACACCTTAAAACTCTTTCTCCAGATAATGTATAGCCCTCCTGACAGGTGAAATGAAGAGTAGCATTGACAGAGTAAGTTGTTCTATCGTCTGGTAAACGATTACCATGCAAAGGTTCACCTGGGTCACCGCAAGCAGGAAATCCTTGAAAAATTGAACGATAAATAACCCTAACATGAATCCAGAATATGCTTATCATTTCGGTGCCTAAACTTTTAACAAGAAGAAACGTTTATCTGTTTGAGAGACCTCCAACGCTGTCTCTGCTGAGTGATAGATTACGTGGAACAACAAATTGCCTACATGAATCTAGGGACATCGAATAATTGGATCTAGTCATAATAATAACAATAATAGTTCGTTCTTATAGCTTGTCCGGACCGCAGGCCCTCTCAAAGCGCTTTACAGAAAGATATTATTACACCTTTCATCGGATACAGGCTTACCCGCATACAATGTATGCACGTTCTCCACTCCCTGGGGAGCATCCAGCCAGGCGTCATTTTTACAAGCGTACACTTGCTCATCTAACCACACTAAATTTCGCATCCTACCGGGTACCCATTAAACACCTGGGTGGAGAGTGGCAAATGTAGATCAATGTCTTGCCAAAGAACATTAGTGCCGCGGCGGGACTTGAACCGCGGATCTTGTGATCCACAGTCTGGTGACATATCCACTCGACCACGACACCTAATAATTATCAGTGTCTCAAACAAAAAGTTAATTATTAATGAAATGAATTTTCGATGAGCAAGCAGGTGAATAGCTGCTTGAGATACCACGAATGAGTTTTCTGCTGAGTGACACATTATGATTTTACTGTTTTAGTCCATAGACTGGTGAAAAGTCTCTTTCCTTTCGGTCTTGCGATCTGCTTCATCCTTTTAGAAAACTCTGCTTAATGATATATAAAGTAAAATGTATATTCAAACAGCAACTACCTCCAGTCTCTCCCTAATTGCAGAATAAAAAAAAAATCACTATCGCTTTTAACAGTTTTTGGTTAGGCAGCTACATTTTAGAGCTAAACAAAATTATAAGTATAAATGAAATATTGACATTCGCTTTCCTAAAAAAGCTGAACGTTAGGGATCCAGCGTTAAGTAACTTGAAAGAGTTGCAATCGCTTCATTTTCCTTTAGAATTTGTAAAAATCCAATCTAAAAATAATGTAGATATTAACGTGTACCAACTTATTATCTTGGCCCAAACAGGCGATGAAAATGGATAATCTTGTCAAGCTTGAGACAGAAGAATTCGTTATATTGACGGCTTATATTTCAAAGGTACAGCATGTCCTACCGAAATCATAATAGGATATTCAGTTTGATTGGGCAATTTGACAAGAAACCTTCCATTTAAAATTGAATGATATCCGTTGACAACTGATTAATCCATTCCGAGAATGCAGTAAGAAGTTTGCAGGCCTTTCTCATTCACTCACCTATTTGACACAAAGCACGATGTGTTTCTGAGCAAGGCCGGTCTGCCCACTCATATTGAGAATCAACTCTCATTCTCACGCAGTCATCTGCTTCTTCATTAGGTTGACCCGTAAGCCATGCCTCAAAGATCATTCGAGTTTCTAGAGACGTAAAAATATTTGATACAAAAAACATGAATTTCTCATTGATGTATTGTTCCCTGATGATTAAGAAAGCCGTATGATACACAATATTTCTATTTTTTCTGGACATAAGTCCGGTATTTTATATCCTAAAAAATATATATTCCCATTTTATTCATTTAATAAAGCAGAGGGTATAATTTCTTGGTTCCCTCTCGAAAATTGCATAATTTCTTTTTTAATTACCTTTTTATGTTGTTATTTGTTGTATTAGTTGGTATTATTTTGTATTAGTACTATTATTTTCATTATCATCATCATAATCATCATTTTCATTAAAATATTTGTTTAGTACGTTTACTTGCTATGTGATACTTTCTTCAGCAAAGTGATGGCCTTATCATCACAGATATTAGTAATACCGATCACCGTTTCCAGCCTGACGTTTACGTAATTTAAGTTTTGTAATTTATCATTTAGTTTTCATCTTATTATTTGTTGAAAAAGTGAGTATGGCTGCGACTAGATGGAAAGAAAACACCCAGGAAGGTTTACAATTAAGAAATGTCCTTTGGAAATATTGGTGAACACGTTGTGTATGTTGATAATGGATGAAATGAAACACCAATATCACCAAGACATTGTTAGAAAATGTCATTTATGTTTATCCCTAAACTTAGTTCTATCACAGTTTGACAACAATATATATGACTTACGGTCAGACCAATACCAGGATCGTTCGTTGTTATCGTCATCAAACCCGCCAATCCACCAGGCCGTGTCTTCTCCTACAAAGTTGTTATTCCTCAGATACAGGGCTTGGTCTACCAATAAAGCGTTAGTGCTCTCATCAATTATTTCTGCCAGAAATCCTCCCCTTCTCTCACATTCTCTGGCCCCGTTGGCACAGTTCATGGAAACATCTAGGAATTGAAAACATGTGCCCATGTATTCTAGTACCATTGAAGATCGTGTTAGTCCAAAACTCTGGCAAGGCTGATCTAGAAAGAAATAGCCATGTGTGGGAGAAAAGGGCAGAATATAGTGACTTATGCTTGAAGTTCGAGAAGAAAAAAAAAACACATTAGAAATAATGATCCTCTGTACACGAATACAATTGGGCAGAAAACGAGTTAATCATCATCGTGAAACAGATTACAAAGTAAGATAGGTTTTGACCTTTTAATTAAAAACCACCAAAGTTGTGTACACCTTCCTTTTCGCACTGAATATACATACATATACATATATATATATATATATATATATATGTTATATGTTTGAAAAGATTACATAAACATTCAATAAATCATTTATCATTTATGTAATAGTAAAGAAAAAGAACAAATATACACACAAACATGTATATATATATATATATATATATATATATATATATATATATACATGTGTGTATATTTTACCAAAGGCGTCATTAGAGGGACATTTGGAGTGAAAAGATTATTCATTAAGTAGACATTGTCATTAGGAAGACAATTTGGTGTCCTCCGAACGGTTTTTACGTTTTATTTCTCATAGAAGGCCCATTTTTTAATATTTTTTTATATCTCTCTATTTATGTAATTTTAAACAAGGTTTAGGGTTAGGGTTAGTGTTAGTATTTTTATGATGTCCACTTAATGTACCATGTAGGGTGTTATATTTATGCATGTACATGCACATGAATGCCATTTAAGCGCTAAGAAGAAAGACAACCCCTTATTCTCGGTAGAAATTATTTGCTGACGAGGGCGATCCGGTGAAAAGTAGAAGGAAAACTTACTCTGTAAAAGTCGTGTAGTTAGTACTGGAGTAATGACATATTAATCGGTCATGCCGGGTGAACTCTAACTATTTCAGCAATAGAAAATGATTACTGTATTTAAACAAATGAAAAAGATGATACTGAAATAGTCGGTCCAGCACTTGCTTGTATTTAACCAGTTTTGAAAGCTGAATTAAAATGAACTCATGACCATGCACAGCATAGAGATACTTACCATACTGACAGAGTAAGGTCTTTTCTTCTTGGAGCGATCTAGGATACCATGAATATTTCGCCGAGCCAGACTGGTATGACAATTCAATGCAATCTCCTGGATTCGAACCCGGAAATGGGTTTTGCCAAAAGAAACGTTCAATGTATTTGTCAGCTATAAAAAAAGAAGAAAAAGGGGGGTATTCGACAGTCCTATAAGTGTGTCCTATAAGTGTGTTAATCTAGCAATTTACACTGTCTTATCTTCCGTGTTAAGAAATTAAGAAGAAGTTAAAATGTTTAATGCGATAATGTCAAAGCCCTCATCTTTCTCTATCGTTCACTCACTATGACAGCAACATCGATATAAAGACTTCAGTGCGTATACAACAAAGTACACACTTTGAAAATAACCTCCAAAATTAAATTGTTTACGATATCTGCATTATATTTTTCTAATGAAATTTTGGGAAAGATCCTATAACATCGGGTGGCACTAAAACTTTTGACATTATTTTATGCTTTAGTGAACTGTTGCTAATCAAATAGAGGTGTCGTGGTCTACTGGATATGTCAACGGACTGAAGATCACAATGTCCGCGGTTCGAGTCCCGCCGCGGCACTATAGTCCTTTGGCAAGACATTGATCTACATTTGCCACTCTCCACCCAGGTGGTAAATGGGTCCCCGGTAGGATGCGAAAGTTAATGTGGTATGTTTAGCAAGTGGCGCTTGTAAAATGGCGACTGGCTGGAATGCTCCCCAGGGAGTGGAGAATGTGCATATATTGTGTGCGGATAAGCATGAATCCGATGGCCGGGGTAAACATATATATCTGTAAAGCCCATTGGGGAAAAAATCTTCTCTGTGCCTTTGCCTTCGAACCCGACTGTCGAAATACAAATATTCATAACAGGGGAATGACATTTAATAAAGATTCATGCATTGAATTTGATTACATTACGAAAATGATATATTTTGTCTTTGGTCATTCATTATAAAAAAAAGACCAATCACTTCATCCTTTTCCATCCAATTTCGTCAAAGTCAAATCAAGTTCATCATCCTCGACTAACAAGAAACATTTGCATAAATCAATTTCGTCAAGCATCATTCGAATTCGTTACTCGTTCTATATAAGGTCTAATTGACAAATGAGTGATTTTCTCTTGAACTTGGTTGTGCAAAGACGAATTTTATTTATACTTTCTGCAGGAGACCGCCAGATGAAATAAATAAGAATCATGAAATCTGACAAAATTAATGGACAAGTGTTACAATTTAGTTACCATTGACTTATATAAATTACAAATGACTAAATTAACTTTGACATTTGCACGATCCCAGATCTCTAGGATTGAATTGAAGCGCACACAATTTATTTGATTGAAAAAAGAGGTCAAATCGCCGGAAAATCCTATATTATGCCTAGGTCACATATAAACCGGGCCCCGTACGATTTTCCCTACCCGGCGGCTTGCCGTGGATTTAGAGACCGTACGGGAACCTTCCGATTTTCATTTCTACGGCATGTGTGGTCACATATCCTGCGGCGCCCGGGAGGTGCCCGGAGAAAATTGGTCGAGTGAAA